ACTGAGCCATCTCCCTGGCCCAGAAAATTTTCATAGTACCAGAGATTGAGCCAGGGTCTTCACACTGAGTTACATCGCCAACCCTTTTTATTTCTGCTTTTTTTTTTTTTTGGTACCAGTAATCACACTCAGGAGCTGTGTTGGCCAGGCAGGTGCTGTGCCGCTGGGCTGTATCCCTGGCCCCCTTTTAATCTTGAGGGAAGATTTCATTAAGCCAATGAGCTGTCGAGGCTGGGCCAAGCTCACGCTGGCCTTTCAGGTCTGCACCACCAAGCCTGGCAAGACATTCTTCTCACTATTTTTAGGTCTTTTTGAGACAGCATCCTACTATGCAGTTCAGGCTGGCCCCAGGCTGCTCTCGAGCTCAGTGATCCTTGTGCCTCAGCCTCACGAGGGCTGGGATTACGGGCACGTGCCACCATGCCCGGCGTGCGTCCTATCTTTTGGAGGCAACCACAAATTCACCGCGCTGTGAGGTCACACACTGCCAGTCCCTCCGGTGATGGGGAGGTTCGGGTTGGCTTGCCGACCTTCCCGCTGGGTAAACCGAGGCACCCACCTGGTCAAACTTGCGCTGCTTCTTCTCCAGTGTGCTCACGAGCTGCCGCTGCTGCTCCAGGTCCACGGTGACATCGTCCAACTCTTGCTGCAGGCGGCGGCGGCCCCGCTCCAGCCGCTCCACAGCCTCCGTCTTCTCCCCCAGGCGCTGGGCCAGGGTCTCGGCCTCCCTGGCAGCACGGCGCCGGGCTTCTTCCCCTGCCTCCAGCGCTCCGGCCTCCTCCTCCTGGCGCCGCCGCCACTCTGACAGCTGGAAGGACAGAGACAGTGGTGACACCAGGCCGGAGCACCTCATTCCATTTCCCACATGAGGAAACTGAGGCTTGAGAGGAAAACATTGCCCCTCAGAGCTCTTCTGCCACTAAACTGGTTTCTTCTGGGGCCCAGATTTGAATCAAACCTGAGCTTGTCTGGGGATGGGAGTTAGTCTGAATGAGTCATCAGACTACTATAGAGACAAAGGCAAAATTCTAGGAGCCATGAGAGTCCACAGGAGGACTTTAGAATGCTTTGAATATTCAGGGAGACTTCCTGTGGGAGGGGCCTTTTGAGCCGGGTCTTGAAGTATGCACAGGAGTTTGCAAGAACCAATAGACTCAGGGACTGAAGCGTACAGGCAGAGGCACACACTTTACTCACGGGTATTGGGGTGCCACAAACTGCTACAGGGAGTGGAGGGTCAGGGAAGCTATTCTAGCTGGACTGCGTGGGGAATGGGAACGGGTGGGCCAAGCCATCCCTGTGTGGCGGTCAGGGCAGATGAAGGTATGCACCTGGGCCTGGGCTGCCTGCAGCTCGCGGCCTGCACGTTCCCTGGCAGCAGCTTCCTCTTCCATCTGTTCACGCAAGCCTGCTGCTTCAGCCTCCAGCGCGCGCACCCTCGAACCCAGGGCCAGCTTCGCCCGGGTCTCCTCCTGAAGCAGCTCCTGCAGGTGGATGGGAAAGGTTAGGGTAAACTCGGGGTAAGTTTAGAATAAGGTTAAGGTAAGGTTAGGCCTTGTGGCAGGAGTGGGGGTGGGAGCAGGGGCGGGAGGGCTCACCTGGGCGTCGTGCAGTTGACCCTCAGTGCTGCTCAGCTCCTTGCCCAGCCGGATGGCTCTGGACTCGGCCTCACTCAGTGCCCCAGACACGGTCTCCAGCTCAGCCTGGGGAGAGAGGTGCGTGAAGCGCTCTATGGAGGCTCGGCCCTGCGCACAGCCTCGCATCCACCTGCCCAGAACAAGTGGACAAACAGGTCGAGTGTCCCAGCACACTCGGAAGCTGGGGGGGGGGGCTCAAATTCAGTCCCAGCCTAGGTAATTTTTGGGGGGTTCCTTTTTAAAAAATTATTCATTTATTTATTTAATTTTATTGAGAAATATGAATGAGACAGCTTCACAGCTGATTAATAGGACAGTTTCGATAATCAACACATTGTACATTGTCATCTTAGCGGTTATTCATAGTACAAGAAGCAGACAGGATATTCTGTCCAAACGCTATTAGTACAACTCTTTCTTCTCATTGAATTAAGCGAAAGTAGCTGTATATTTATCCTATTTTGTATATATAAATACAAAATGATCTTTCCTTTGTATCTCCCTTTTTTTGTTTAGTCCTGTCAGAGGTGAATGTTCTCTTGGCATCTAAATACTATAGGTGTTTGAATTCAACTAAACAATCTAACACTGTCTAGCAGTCTATAATATTAGTGGGTTATCCTCAGAAGTTATTGACTTGAGCCTTTTACAGCTCATCATATTAATATGGATTTACTTTATATACCTCGTTTTTATACTTTTATGCTGGATGGTTAAGCCCAAGATAAAGCAAGACCTATATAACAAGAAACGTAACTTCTGTATCTGATAAGGTCAGCCAAGTGCTCACAGGATTTATCCCGTAGCCATGTACTGCCCTTTGTACATCCTTTTGTCAGTGTCAGCCACGAGGATGAGTCAGAGTCATTGCTTGACCAATTTGCTCTCTGTGAAAGCCTCAGAGAATGTTTTTTCTCTACATGTTACTCTCCCTAAAGCCTAGGTAATTTAGCAATTTAGCGAGACCCTGTCTGAAAATCAAAAATGAGCTAGGGCTGCAGGTGACAGCGCGAAGGCCCTGGGTCTGTGCCTCAACATGGGGGTGAGGTGGACTTTTCTCTGAGGGGCCACAGCACAGTGCTGCAGTGTAAGGCTCGGCACGTGCATGCTCCTTCGTAATCAACCCAGGAATTGTTCCAAGGCTGGGCGTGCCCGGGTCAGAGCCTCCGTGGCCGTGGCCGTGGCCGATGCACCCCAAGCACTAGCCGGGCGGGCGAGCTCGGCCCCCCCCCCCCCATCTCTTCAGTTCCGACTCTCCTCACTGCCGCCCAGTGGGCGAGCAGGGCCCCCCCCCCCCCCCCCCCCCCCCGCCGCGGGCCCCGCGCACCTGCGCTCGCTGCAGCTTCTCGGCGGCCTCCACGCGCGCTCGCTCCCCGTCGCCAGCGCGGCCCTGCACCTCCTGCAGCTGCGACTCCAGTCGCCGCCGCTTCTGCTCGCCTTCCTGGCGCGAGGTCTGCAGGCTGCTCAGCTCCGTCCGCAGCTCGGACACCTCGGCCTCGAGCGCCAGCCGCGTCTTCTCCCAGGCGCCTTTGCCCTGGAGGGCGTGCGGGTGGGCAGGAGGTAAGGAGCCCACCCCCGTGCTGCCCAGGCCCTCGGCGCAGGCGGGACGCCACAGCCCGCCGCGGCAGCCCCCTCCTGCTGCCCGGGACAGCGCTGCCCCCAGCGGTCCCAACCCACCCGTCGGGCCTGCTCCAGCTGCTCCACCAGCTCCCCCAGCGCCTGGCCGTGCCGCTGTCTCAGCTCCTGCACGGCCACCTCGTGAAGCCTCGTCTCTTCCTCCAGTGCCTTCTTCAGCTCTGTCACCTCCTGTTCCCTCTTGGTCCTTGCATTGGGGAAGCGGGAGGGCAACCGAATTTCAGAAAATTGGACGGAGAGACCTGAGGGGAGCTGGTTTGGCTCCCTTTCTTGTTTGTTCCCAAGATGGGGACCTTACCATACTTTCTTAGAGGATCTAGAGTGTGGTACTACGGAGGACTGTGGCTTTAAGGTTGAACTTCTACTCATCCGTCCAAGCCCCATTCAAAAGCCTCTCCTCAGGAAAATTTCAGACCTTTTTCTCACAGCTTTGTTCAGGAGCCTTCGCTTACTACTCAAAACGCCATTGCTCCGCTGCATGAAAGTTCCTCCTGCTCTGGCAGGGGCCTGCCTTTGCCACAATCTGCCTCCTCTGAGGCTCTCAGGGGCGATGCCCGGGTTCCACTCATCTCTAAGCCAACCCCCCCAGGACAGGGCCCAGAGCTGGTGGCCAAGGAACTATTTTTTAATGACTAACCCTTAGTAGGGAGGCCTCCCTGGCAGCCTCCTCGGAAGGCCCCGCCCCCCCAAGACCCCGCCCCAGGCCCCGCCCCTCCGAGGCCCCGCCCACCTCCCCGCCCTGCCGGCCCTTCCACGAGCTCACCGCAGTTCCTGCTGTGCATTTGTGGAGTCCAGCGTGTCCTCCAGCTCCCCGCGCAGCGCCTCCAGCTCCTCGCCCAGGTCGCGGCGCTGCTTCTCGGCCTTGGCCCTGGCCACACGCTCCGCCTCCAGGTCCTCCTGGGCTTCGGCCAGGCCAGCCTGCACCTCCCGAAGGGACTTGAGCAGCTGGGCCCGAGCCCCGCCCTCCTCCTCTGCCCTGTGGGTGACAAGGACCGAGGAGTGGGCACATGGGCCATCAGAGAGGCCGGATGTGCATGAGCTTGGGGCCGGCCTACCCGGGCTCAGACCCCGGCTCTGCCACTGGGCACGCGACTCCACTTCTTCAGCCTCAGCTTCCCTAGCTATAGAATGGGTAGTCACAGCACGATGCCGCTGTGCTGTGATGACGCGGAGCTCCTTCTGCGCGCAGGCCCTTTACTTGTGCGGATTCTGTGAATACGCATGGCAAGTGAGGAAACTGGGCCGTGTGCCGCTCTGCCTTGGAGCTAGCTGCATATGGACTGAAACCTCCAGTAACTGCTGTCTGAGATGGAAGGTACCCCAGAGAGCACCAGCCCAACCCCAGCACTGACAGGCTGTGCTGCTTTTGCTGGGTCTTCCTGGGTACTGTCTGCTCTGAGGACAGTTCCGTTCCACATCCTCCTAGAAACTGGCCGGGACGCCTCCAGCCTGCCACTGCCTCCCTCGCGTATTTCCAGATCTACTGAAATGAGCAGAGGATGTTCTCAAGCATATTTGTCAGAATCAAGTGCATCTCCGGTCAAAAGCTTCCGTAAGTAATCCGTAAGTAATATCATCTGTCTTCCTGCTTCCCCCAAGACTTCTCACAGGGCATTAGGCTCATCATCCCAGCAACACGGAAACCTCTAGGTGTGTCTGAGCCTCTCTGACATCTACAGCTGGGATGAAGAGCGACTAGACGGGAGATCCAGTGAGGCCGAGTAGAAGATTCTTTCTCCAGAGCAGGCAGTTTCCTCTCCGATGCATTGCAGAGGTGGTCTGAGGTCTTCATTATCAGAGCCTCTGTGACTCTGCAGTCAGAACTGTGGCAGACGACACAAATCTCATCACCAGTCACTGTGCTTGACACCCAAAGCTCCCTTTCACATAGAGTCACTTGGGGTTTCCTTTCAATTTTCTCAAAAAGATTGAACGTTTTATTTGGGAAAAAAAAAAGTGAGGAAACTGAGGCACAGAGTGGGACTTGGTATGCTCTGCTAAGGGCAGCCACGGTTTCCTCCGGGGGTGACAAGAATGTTCTTGATGTGACGGAGGCGATGGCTCCTGACACCAGGCACGGGCCCAATTCCCTGAAGAGTGTGCACTCGAGCGTGGCTGAGATTTCTGTATTTTGTTTTTTCTGTATTTGTTACAGGTTATCACTGTGCAGCTCGGACTGTAGTGATCCTCCTGTTTCAGCCTCCCCAGCACTGGGATTACAGGAAAAGTGCACCACCACACCCAGTCTCGGTGGCCGGCTCAATCAGTGTGCTGGGGGCGGGGCTGGCACAGCATGTGGTGCAGGGGATTGAACCCCGTGCCTGCACTTGCCTAAGCAGGAGCTTAGTCCGCCGAGCTATCTCACTGACCATGTACTTTGTATTTTGAGACAAGGTCTCACTGTCTCCCAGGCTGGCCTGGCCCTCTTGGGGATCTCCCTGCCTCACACTCCAAAGTGTTGGGATTACAGGCATGTGCCATGGTACTGGCCCTTGAATGGTTGATTTTATGTGAATTCCACTCCAGGACCAAACAAAACCAAAGAACTCCAAAAATTAAAAAAAAAAAAAAAAGTAAATATGAAAAGCAAAAAATACACATTTATCCAGGACAAAGCCATGAACCTAGCCGGACAAGCATTTGCTTATAGTGGTCCGCATTTTACAGATGAAGAAACTGAGGCTGAAGAGGTGAAGTCACAGAGGGTGAGGTCATCTGGCCAGAAAGGGGCAGAACCAGGTCTCCAACCCTGAAGTCAAACTCAGGGGATCATGGTTGCTTTGTCTGGTTTTGTTTGAGACAGGGTCTCACTATGCAGTCAGGCTGGCCTTGAGTTCACTTTGTAGCCCAGGCTGGTCTCGAACTCACAAGGATCCTCCTGCCTCAGCCGCCTGAGTGCTGCTGAGATTACAGGTGTGCACCACCACGCACAACAGTGGTGTGTGTTCTTACTCGAGTGTGCACACACTCTGGGTTCTAGCATGTGCCCTTTTTCCACGTTTTAACATCTCCCAAATGAAACCACACCCATAACGAAAGAGCTCGTAGACTGTGAGAGAGAAAGAACTGTACACGCCAGGTGCTGCACGGGCATGCAGCAGGTGCTTAGTAGGTGTGCGTGTTCTGAGACTGACTGGGGTCCACGCTCCAGTCCTGGGATGCACAGCGGCCCCTTCTCCCTCTACCTGTGCTCCCAGCCCTGTGCCCACGGGGCCCACATGCCTCCATCCACTTCCCCACTGGACTTGGGCCTCTTGCCATCCGTGCCGCCTACAGGGCCAAGGCTGAGCACCGCACCTGACCAGGGCCGCCTGCAGCTCCTCCTCCTTGCGGCCCAGCTGGGCCCGAAGCTCCTCTGCACGCTGCTGCTGCTCCACCATCTGCTCCTGCAGCTCCGAGCTCTCCCCATCCAGCCGCCGCTTCAGCTTCTCCAACTCCTGGCGCCCCTTCTCCTCCTTCCGCAGGCGGTCTGCGGTATGTGGCCAGGGTCAGCCAGGCCTGGCTGCCTGCCCACCCTGCAGACCACCCCCTTGTCCCCCAGATCTTGTCCGATCTGCCCAACAGCTGTGCCTCCTCCCTCTGACCCTGTCCACAGCCCTGCCTGCTCCACAGCTTCCTTCTAAGTTAACATTGAGGGACACAGTGTGACTGACATGGACAGTGGCTGAGTCGGATGGGAAGGGACAGTAACCCAAGACATCATGGTGACAGAGTGGGATTGGAGAGCTAGGGGCCTTGCTGTGCTGGAGGCATCTTTCCGTTTTTTTTTTTTTAATATTTATTTTTTATTTATTACATTTATTTATTGTGTGTGTGTGTGTGTGTGTGTGTGTGTGTGGCCAGCTCAGCCCACCAGGGGGCGGGGCTGGCTGGCATGTGGTGCTGGAGGATTGAACCCCGGTCCCTGTGCTTTGCCAAACTTGTTTCAAGTAGGTGCTTTAGACCACTGAGCCATCTCTCCAGCCCTGGAGGCATCTTTCCTATCCTGTTTAGTGGACACCACCCCGGGCACCCCATGGCCCATGCAACTGCCTGGGCGCTGGGTGCTGGGCGCTCACCCTCCATGTCTGCGATGGTGGCCTCGTATTTGAGCCGCAGCTTATTCAGGCTCTTGATTTTCTCCTCCTCCTCTGCCGCCTGGGAGGAGAACTCGGCCAGGCGCTCTTCCAGCAGCCTCCGCTCCTGTGGGCACCAGGACGCAGGGCCATCAGGAGCCAGGTGGGAGTCGCTCCCCCAGCTCTTCCACCTTCCCCTTCCTCGGCTCCCAGCCCCACCCCTGGGGTCTCCCCGCACATGAACTGCAGGCCCAGCAGCCCTATTCTCTGCCATTCACTTCTGCCCATGGAGGGCCATGGCGGCTGATGGGGATCACTGTTGTGATAAACAGCACCACAACTGCCACGACCATCCTTGCCCTTCTGTGCTCCTGCGGGAGGTGGGGACCCTCGACACCACTCCGTATGGGCCATCGACTGCCAGTGACCACAGCTGCAGACCCTTTCCAGACTGAATCACAATCTGATCATCATTTTTTATCCTTTCCAGTTTTTTTTTTTTTTTTTTTTTTTTTTGAGTCAGGATCTTGCTGTGCAGTTCAGGCTGGTTTCAAACTCATGTCAATCCTTCTGCCTCAGCCTCACTGAGTGCCAGGTTCCCAGGCATGTGCCACCACATCCAACGTGTGTATATTTTTAAAAATTGATACAAGGGTTGAACCCAGGACCTTTGGACTGAGTTACACCCCTAGCCCTCTGTAAAATTATTTTGAGGTAACTACTTACTAAGTGGCAAGTTGTCCAGGCTGGGCTCAAACTTAAGATACTCCTGCCTCAGCCTCTTCTGTGAGGTAGACACCTGCCCATGCTCTGCCTATTTCCCTGTCAGCTGTTTGGTGGGTGCTTGTTGGTGTCTGGGGGATGCTCTCCCATGTGCACCCCAGTTTTTATCCATGGGGCTTCCTGTCACCCCTTCAACCCCCCAAAGCATCCAGCCCCCACCTTGCCCAGCTTGGCGTTCTGGTCCTCCAGGAGCAGCAGGTCTTCCTCGAACTTCTTCAGCTTTGCCTCCGTGGTCACCTTCTCCAGCTGTAGTTTCTGCCTCGCTCCCTCCTCGGCCTCCAGGTGGGTCTCCAGCTCCTGCGGCAGGAGGAGGAAGAAGGAGGGGGACACAGGCTTGGGGATGGGCAAGACAGGAAGGGCAGGGGAGGGGCAGACTCAGGGCCAGGGGTATGCAGGTCCACACCAGGGCCTGGGTGGGGCTGGGTATCGACCTCACCGGTCTCTCTCTGTACTCACTGGCTGCCTAGGCATTTGAGTGTCCAGTGTGTACCAGGCACTGCTCTAGACCCTGAGCCCCTGAGGTGGAGGCAAGTCCCTGTCTCAGGAGAATGACATTCTGTATGTGTCGGTGGGGTGGAGCTACTACACATAGAGGGACCAGAATGGCAATCATACGTAGAGCAGAAATTAGGGTTCAGGGTCACTTGCTGCCTTGACAGTTGATAAATGTGGGAGGCCCCAAGAGACCCAACCTCACATAAGGTCCCCAGCCATGTCCAGGCGTGGTCAGGACCTGGTGATCCCTGAGTCATGTGTCCATCCCTGCCAGACCACAGGATCACATCTTCCCACACCAACTGGTCACCTCCACCTCCTGTCCCTGCCCAGCCTGTCCCTGGGGTTCCTGCTTCCCATGCTGTGCTTGGGGGCAGCCTGGGGGAGCCCCGTGGCCTGGCGTCTGGCTACCTCGTGCTGTGTTTGTGCCTGAGGACCTGTGGTCATTTCCATAGCTTCGGGGTCACTTGTTCGGCTCTCCCCTGGATGGTTTGGTCCCTCCCTCATGGGGGGGGGGCAGGGAGGAAGCCCAAATGCCACAGAGCTCTTGAGGTGTGGCCAGTGGGATGGATGAAATGAGTTTTTTGTTTTACTTTATGTATTTAAAATTGAAGACTAGATACTCATTGGAAAACTTTGAAGTAAGTATGAATCAACTTGAAAAGGCGAATCTCTCTCTCTCTCTCTCTCTCTCTCTCTCTCTCTCTCTCTCTGCAGAACCAGGGATTGAACTCAGACCCTCGCGCTTTCCAGGGAAGCACTCATTCTACTGAGCCATCTCCCTGAAAAGGTAGATCTCTGTACGCATGGTAATGGGGTTAAACTCCGGGCCTCCAGGCTGAGCTACATCCCTGGCTCTTTATTTATCTTTTGTTTTGCGAAAGGGTCACGAAGTTATTCACACTGAGCTTAAGCTTGTGATCCTCCTGCCTCAGCTTCCCAGAGCGGTGCGATTGCTGACCAGCACCACCAAGCCGGCTGTGGATCTAGTTTCTAAACTGTAGATGTGAAATGAAAAGACAGCAACTATTTCCAAGGAAGTCCAGCATCTGAATTGAGAGGCGCGTAGGTGGGACATGCGCACTAGATTTTGAAGAGGAACCGCGGGCGGGCAGCCCAGCTGCCAGTACAGCGGCGGCGAAGCTGACCATGCCAGGGGCCAGAAGGCAGAGGCCTGTAGCCCTCCCTGGAGCCCGGAGCCACCCATTCCAGCATCTCCCATTACTTGAATCAATATATGTTCTTAAGTTAGTTAGTGGTATGTTTTGTATAAATTCATGAGCAAAGGAAACGAGCTTTGGAGCCCGGCCGGCCGGCGAGGGGCGGCGCACCTGGATGTGCAGCTGCAGCCTCTTCTTCTCGGCCTGCAGCTGGCGGCTGCACTCCTCCTCCTCCCCCATGCGGGCCTCCAGCTCGGTCACCACCAACTCCAGCTCCTGCTTACGGGTCGCCAGCCGCCCGCGCGTCTCCTCCGCCTCCGCGCACAGCTCGGCCTCGGCCCGCAACTGCTCCGCCAGACGGGTGCGTTCCTCCTCCAGCTGCGGTGGCGGGAGCGGGAGGGCAGGCTCAGCAGGCTGCGCTCCCAGGGTGGCCCTCCGTGGTCACCGGGTCCCTAGCGTCTCCGCCCTGGCTCCTCCTCCCTGTATCTAGCCCTAGAGCGGTCCAGTCTAATCCTCTCCCACCTGGACACTGTGCTCCGGAAAATCCCATCTCCCATCTCATTTAATACTCCTATGCCTGGAAATCTAACCAAGAAAATTCAGAAGAACGTCTTTACCTCTGGGATCTGCCACGCCCCCACGACCGCGCCCCCTCGTCCTGGTCCCGCCCTCATCCCTTGAGGCCGGTTTTCACAGGGGCTCCACCCTAGGGCCCACCCACAAAGTTCCTACCCATATAGGCCCCGCCCCCACACCGAGCTTCACCCGTCACAAGGCCCCGCCCCATTTAGACTGCACCCCAACAAAGACCCCACCCCCACAGGCTCCGACCACCCCGCACCTGCGCCACGCGGTCCTGCAGCTCTCCCACTTGGCGTGCGCTCTGTTGCTGCAGCTCCTGCACCTTCTGCAGCTCCTGGGCGCGCGCCTGCAGCACCTCATCCTGCCGCGTCACCTGCAGCAGCGGCTTCACCTGGAGAAGGGAGGGGATGAAGGGTGCAGCAAGCTCCCACACGCTCCTACAGCCCTGACCAAGCACAAAACTCGCTTAAAGAAAGATAAGGGAGGGGCCGGGGAGATGGCTTACTGGAACAAGCG